ATCAGGTTTTTTAGATGAATGTTAATAATATTGAACTTTAAAAATAAGAGCAAGTTATTCAACAAGTTCTTTTAAATTATTGGTTAATGATGTTGTAATAACTGAAAATATAATAAATAAATGATGCAGTAAATCCTGTGGCGCAGTAGGTCACATGATATGGTTACACAAGAAGAAATAGTTTGGAAATACAAAAGTCACATGACAAGTCACATGGCGCAGTAAAATGACGGATAAATATTTAGCCGATGGATAAATAATTAGGCAATAAAATTATATTTATAGTTTAGTTTAGTGTAATGAGATAGTTATATGATAATAGATCTTCAAATTTTATTAGAAATATTAGAAATATTGGAAATATTTTTCTTAAAAATGTATAAATACAAATGGATTTCGATAGGAAATTCAGTAGTTCAATTTTTGGAAAATAAAAATTTTATTTCGTCCTTAATAATAAACAAACACATTCTTTTAGCCTTTTTCTTATGAGTAAAAAGTGCCACATTAATTATTTTATTTTAATTAATGGTTTATCGAAAATATAGAGAAACTATCGTAATTTAAAATTTCGGTAAGAAATAATGTTTTGTAATTTTTGTAACTAATTTTTATTTTAAAACCAAGCATAAATATTATACGAACTCAACACGTCAGTGGCAACATACGATATTTTATTTTAATATCCTATGGGCGGCGTGTCACAATGTAACTCAAGAAATGGTATTAGAAATATAGCATATTTGAACAACAGTAATATCATTATATAGTACTATTAAATGATAGTACATATTTGTATATATGTCTTTTATCAATAAATAAAGGTTTAATATGCCACTATTTTTTTTGTATTGCAACCTATTCTTAGCTACTTATTATACTGTATTACTTTTATATTATTTTGCTGGTATCTTGAGCCTAATATTAAATAAGAAACTCTTTTATAATAAATATCAGCTATTATATTATATTTTACAATTAATTTAAAAGAAAATCTTCCTATTACTAATAGTACATTCAAGTATTTATTTTTCATTTAATTTGTATTATACAATTTCAGTTCAACAAAAAAACCAAACAAAATTATATATGTAGAATTATTTAATTATTGAAAAAAATAATAAATTCAGCTATTAAAGTTAATATGTACTGAAAGTTGTTTAATATATTTAAAACATTTTTTTATAATATACAAAGCAAATATAATGAAAAGTAGTAGTAGCAAACAAATTTCATTTTTGATATTAGTAATCCTAATATTACTAAGCATAAAGAGCATCTGCCAAAAGATTACAATCATTTATTGAATAAATCTTTAAAGAAAAATATATATTAAGAATTGATATAAATAATAATGAAAATATGAAGGGTAGCAGTAAAGGTTATAAATATAAAAGATGTAAATAATACAGATATTATACTAAAACTTGTCAAACCTTAATACAATAATTTTGATTGAAATTTTACTAATTGAAATTTTAGTTTATTGAATCATTAGAATTTGATCAGTAAGATTATAAATATAAAAGATACAAACAATATGAATATTATACTAAAACTTGTCAAATCTTAATTATTAGATTAGTATTTATTAAAATTTTGATTTGTTAAGTTATTAAAATTTAATTAATTTCATTTGTTTCATTATTTCTTAAGGTTGTTAGATTTATTAGAATATTAGATTATTAAAAGCATTAAATTAAAAATTAGCATTTATTTATAGAATCATTAGTTATTAAATTATTAGATTATTTGAATCATTATATTATTAAAATTGAGCATTAAGTTATTAAGTTAGAAATTATTGGATTGTTAGAAGTATTAGATTTGTTGGTTATAAAAGAGACCAATCAGCTGCAATAAATATTGAAATTATAAATAATATAGAATATTGTAGTATGTTATATGTTAAACATAATTTATCTTAATAATAGGCAGAGTTCTTTCTAAAGATTATTAAAACAACTTAAATTCTATGTAATTAAAATTTTAAAATGCGATACTTCAATTAATATTATATCTAAAAAGATAAATTATATATCAAAATGTTCATCTTATTAAGATGAATTTAATAAATTAAAGATTATTAAAATCCAATTACTGAATCCAGATATAGTAAAATTTAAAATTAAAATTTATATATAATTTTGTATATTTGAAGCAGAAATTAATTATAAAGTTTATATAAATTTAGATCTGAGTTTTTTAGTAATTTTCAGAATTATTATCAAATTAAATAATTAGATATTTTTGGTGTTTTTAGTAAATTTATTATAATCGATTAATATAATAGTACAAATTCAATTAAATTAAAAACAACAATAAATAATCTGTTAATTATTTAATATTAATATAAATTTTCTTAAAACTAGATTAATAATTATTAAAATTAATTTTTTAATATTATATTATTTTATATAAAAAATTTTATTTTATTTTTATTTTTAATAATATATTTATACTTTATTATTAGTAAATTTTTTAGGGTGCAGAATTGTAGCAATCTGCAATTTTTGCAAATTGCCACATTTTTTTTACAATTTTTAGCAAAAATCTGCATAATACTGCAGATTTAAATTTTTACATTTTTTTAACAATTTTTTATATAAATATCTGCAATAAATTTCAAAATTGCAGATTTTATTAAAAATTTAAATATATGTAATCATAAATGTTCTAAAGCATTATGGTCAAAATATTCTGTAATAATACGTGATCATAAATATTCTGAAGCATTATGATCAAAATATTCTATAATAATACATAATTGTAAATACTTTGAAACATTGCAGTCAAAATTAGAGTTCTGAATAGATTGACCAAATTCAGGTAACCTGACAGGTTAACCTGAATTTTTCAGGTCAGATTTAGTAATTGCAATTCAGCATCAGTTCAGGTTGTAACATCAATATAACCTGAATGACCTGTTGACCTGAAACTATAATTTTATATAATTTTTTTTTTTTTTTTTTTTTTTAAAAACTTTATTATAGATGCGATCATGTCTTATTA